AAAAATCAATAATAACGTCACCATTACGACGCAAACACAGCCTTCGCGATTTCGCAAATTTCTGCACCTTTTTGACGGTGCCTCTGTTTAACAATCCTCTGCTCCTGAACGGCAAATAGTACAATAGTGTTCTATATATCGTTTTAAAGCCCACACTCTGGACTACTTAGGTTGTTCAATGCATATCGATATCTTGAATAGTGTCGGAGTTATTGCCCTTGGAAGTTGGTCAATTTTTGGCCAAACGCATTTTTATAGGGTTCACAGCTCTGCGAAAACACAATGGATTTTCTTTTTGAAGGTACCAAACTGTAGACCATAAAATTTTTGCTTCACATTATCATTATGTAAAAGTCAATAGTTACGCCACAATTACGCCACAAACAGTGAGGGACATTAGGATTTCGCATTTTTTCAGTTGTGAGATAGCTGGAGGAAGTGTCGTAAAATCTAGCACCACTGCCCGTGTCCTGGTTTTCCAGTGCCCACAGAAATAGTTCCCTCTTTAACAGGCCGTAACTCTGTTGTTCATAGGTCTACATTCAAAAGAATTAGTGTTCTGGAATTGCCAGGATGTGATCTCTCCAGCAGTCTGCAACATGTACCAGTAATCTCTCTTATAGTATATGTTTTTCTGCAGTTTGTGAATTTTCCGTTTGTGTCAGCAGCATTGAATCAATGCCAAATTAATCTCAGGTTGGAACCCCGGCCTTTAACCGCACCACAGTAATTTTTTAAAGGTTGGGTTGAGTTGAGTTGGGCTTTACGTCGCTTTATTTCAGCCAGCCATATAGTGATAAGAACAAGTCTGCATTAGTACACATGGTAAGTACAGAGTCAAAATGAGTTTTATTTAAAAAACATCTATTCATTACGTTGTTATTTAAAAACAGAAAAGGTCATAGCACTAAATTTAAAAGCAGGCAGTTTGTTAGTCACATCACACAGTTGCAATTTATAATACAGATAAACTTCCCTCAGGTTGTTTCCTATAGAGACTACCACTGCAAAGCGTGGTCCACGTGCAGATATGGGAGACGATGTCAATTTCAACGGCAGATGTAATTGACAATGACAAGGAGCTGTCAAATCTGAGTTGGAACGTCATCCAATGCCCAAAGAAATAGCGTTACATCGGCATTACCCTTCACAAGTGCAGTATTTGCACATACGTGTATACGTCAGATAGCTAGGGTCATGGCGATCCCAGAACCCTAATCGTTTGGACCGTAGACCCAAGGACGGCGGAGCTACGGCCTGTTCAAGAGAGAACTATATCTTCTCCAGAACTACTTAAAAGGTCCATGACCCCGCGACCCCGGCTGCATTTCACCGATCCGCTCTCGTGTCAAAAACATGTTCTGCCTGCGTTTTGGACGCTTTCTAGCACTTCAATACACTTCAAACACCCGTAACTCCGAGGGTTAAAATGGACGGTCCAGCTGGCGTCCAAAGAAACGGTACAAGTCAAGGTAGCCACGGGGGGTGTATGGGGGAAGTCTGAAGACCGCCAGTATTGCCCTTGAGGCAATCCTAGTTATTATTATTATTATTATTACATCTACTGCCTCATGTATATATCTCCTGCCTAGTGTGTATATATCTGTGTCTTGTGTATACATCTACTGCCTCATGTATATATCTGTGTCTTGTGTATACATCTACTACCTCATGTATATATCTGTGTCTTGTGTATACATCTACTGCCTCATGTATATATCTGTGTCTAGTGTATACATCTACTACCTCATGTATATATCTGTGTCTAGTGTATACATCTACTGCCTCATGTATATATCTGTATCTAGTGTATACATCTACTACCTTGTGTATATATCTGTGTCTAGTGTATACATCTACTGCCTCATGTATATATCTGTGTCTAGTGTATACATCTACTGCCTTATGTATATATCTGTGTCTTGTGTATACATCTACTGCCTCATGTATATATCTGTGTCTAGTGTATACATCTACTACCTCATGTATATATCTGTGTCTAGTGTATACATCTACTGCTCCATGTATATATCTGTGTCTAGTGTATACATCTACTACCTTGTGTATATATCTGTGTCTTGTGTATACATCTACTGCCTCGTGTATATATCTGTGTCTTGGGTATACATCTACTGCCTCATGTATATATCTTCTCTCTGTTGTGTATACCTACTGTACAGTGTCTATATCTACCTGTTTAGTGTGTATATCTACTTGATAGTATATATATACCATATAGTGTCTTTATGTACTGTATACTGTATTCATCTACTGTATAATGTCTGTATATACTGTCTAGTGTCTATATCTGCTATATTGTGTATGTATGTGGCCGATGCTGTGTGTTTGTCCGTTGAGGAAGGTGACCTGTTGTAGCGTAGCATGTACTAGTAGTATTCATCAAGTCCATCACCAATCATCACCACGTCACGGGTGTTTATAGACTGTTTTCTCTCAAGACATTCTTGACCGTTAGGACAGGACGGGTTAGAACTCGATCGATTTTGTGCGCACAACGATTGGGAACCTGGAGCCGAACAAGGTTGATGAATTAAGAGTTATGTCCCTTTGACCAGGCAAGCCATTCTATTTACAAGGCAAATATTTTCTACTCGGGTATAAATGCGTTCCATCTTGCATTACTTTTAACAATGTATTCAGATTGTAGTTCGTACTCTCAGGTATACAATGTATGGCGTTTACAATGCTGTATCTGTTTACAAAACGGCTAAACACTATATAATGTCCATTATAGACTACATACTCCGAGAAAATGCAGGATGTGCACCGTCTGTACGATATGTTAAAATATCATATGTCTCCTCCCTCACTTGTTGTTAAATTGCTCAGCTTTAGAAACAGGGATATACTACCTGTGTGCAGCATCAGTGTGCACAATTTAAGAAGAGTTGAAATATTGCAAAATAATTAGTGTTTGTTTGATCCAGAATGTAAAGTATATGTTAATCCAAGGCAATCCAAGAAAGTGTATTGCATTTGTGTTTTTAGTCCAGAGGGCATGATATGTGAATACGTTTCTCATGTTAGATGCTATCTTTGTACTGAGAAGGACTACATGATGTACAGCTAATACCCCGAAAAAGGTTTACCTTAAAAACGTTAAAGATTTGAAGAAAAGACTTACTTTCCTAAGGATTCTTAGGAAATGTTCTTCTCTAAGTTTCAATCGTGAGAGCTCCGCTTATGAAACTCCATACATGTATTGTGTAGAATATCCGTGTTTAATAGCTCTTCAATATCTGCATATGTGTTTTGGACACATGGCCTGGTGACAATGAAGCGATATGAAGTCACAGTGCTTGACTGTTGAGATAGAGGGGATATGATGTCATCAATTGTTCACGACGTCATAAACCGATTGTCATCTGAACAATAGGCTTTATTCAGTAATGTGTCTCTGTAGGAAGGGCATCTCATATGTTTTGTGTTAGTTTTATCTCTTAAAATGTCAGTGAATACTACACAGAGTAACCTACAAGGGAATTATGGTTATCTTGTCCCTCGACAGAGACTGATTGATTCACATAGGTCAAATAATCAGTGATGTCTCGTAGTTCGTTGGTCATTCTTTAATGTATAACATTGAAACAGACAACATAGTAAATAGCGAAATATATTAGAAATATCTTCTTTCTTTGTTAATATATACGGTCGGGTCCACCTGGGCGATATTTTACTTGACCCCCGGGCAAACATCCTCCGGGGCCAGATTGTTCCCCTTATTGCCTTAACCCAGATCTATAGTCCTTTGATGTCGGTGTATGGTTCTGTCGAGACTGATGACGTACTGTTCTACACAGAACCCCGTATCTACCTTATTTTGTGATCATACGACAAATATTTGTCCAAAGCTATTGAATTCTGCTAGATCATCTCGCGAGGTTCCCGCATGGCTTTACTTTAGCTTACCTATATTCTTAACGTGCATAAAGTGCATCTTCTGTTTACATTACAGAGAAAACGATACCCCGAGAACTAAGATAAGTATTTCGGTCGTGATGTGTTATAGATAAAGAAAAGCATACATTTTTAATAAAGTGCTGACACTGGTCACGTAAAGCTCGTGTATTTGCATTCCTCCAAGGTCAGGTCAGATATACATGTATTCTATAAACACGTACACGCTCTCGCTGACGCACGCGCGCGCGTTATTAGTGCAATAGTCTTGAACACGACCTTCAACTCAATGTCAGCGTCGCCTCTCACCACTCAGAGCAAACTTTGAAGAGAAACGTTTGAATGTTTAATATATCTACGAAATTAGCATATGGAATATGTCAGACTTTAACCTTATATGAAACTGATAAATATTGTACACACTTCAGAAATGCGTAACGGTGAAAAATAACCGATTATGTATCTTATGATATTGCGAATGATGTCTTTTTGAAAGTAATTACACAGTCCGGGTAAAAACATACAGTCCGTTTGTAAATAAGTACCGTATTTAATTTATTTCAGGGCGTGTCAGCTGAATATTGAGCCCGTGAAGATCTTGGATAGACTTGGTCTTAAGCAACTCAGCTTGTCGTAAGAGGCGACTAACGGGATCGAGTGGTCAGGCTCGCTGACTTGGTCGACACATGTCATCGTTTCCATATTGTGTAGATCGATGCTCATGCTCATGTTGTTGATCACTGGATTGTCGGGTCCAGACTCGATTATTTACAGACCGCCACCATATAGCTGGAATATTGCTGAGTGCGGCGTCAAGCAACAAACAAACAACTATGGGAGGAAGGTTAGACATTTACCACTGTAAATAATGAAACCCACGACCACGGGTATGGTACTGACAAGTGAGTGAGGGAGTGGAGTTACGCAACAGTCATTAATATGCGGGTTTAGACTAGGCGGGTTTACTTGTGGTCAGGTCAATCCTCGTTAGTGACAAGCAGGAGGAAAGCTGGAGAAAACCTTCCTGTCACACATTCATATTTCTTGTTGCTTCAAAACACAATCTTACAAAACAGACAAAACACAGTTATAACGTTTATTTTACATTTATGAATATATAGTATACACCTCACGTAGATGATCTTGATAAATACATATTCTATTGCCTAAGAGTATTACAAACATTTACAATATAGTATTACAAAAATGAACAATATCACAATATCAACACAAAACAACTCCTATAGCTTTGATTGATCGTACTATTTTGTTTAAACCATAAAATAAAACTAGAGGTGGGAATATAATCAGTTTTGCATTAACTGTACAAATGTACATAATGCTTTTGAGTCATTAATTGGTCACAAAACCGTTAAGATTAAAGTGTATATGCAGTTTTGTTATCTTCATGTCTGTGGTTGGAAACGTGTGATGGGATTTGGATATTTACTTGTGGTTTTGGACAGACCACTTGGTATCGGCACTTAAGTGAACTGGCAGTTAAACATCTGAAAACACACGCACACCCCGAATGGCTGATGAAGTATTTTCACTGAGAAAACGAAATTGTCTGAACATCGCGTGAACATGAGTAAATATGGTGTTACGCCGCGTTTATCAACAGCCCAGCATCATTCAAGCCTGGACACTAGAACCGGGATTCACGCATTGCGCCACATATCCGACAGAAGGGCCCTTTACCCGCTCAGCTACCCTGCGGTCCTGAACAGACTGAGAGTTCTCTATCAAAAATATGTTTCGAAAAAGCGCATAGAAAGATCGCAGTACATACACATGTACAGAACATAAAGACACTTTACGTTAAGTGTACAAGTGAAAGTGTACTCAGTGGTAACACAGCTAAAACCAAATTACGAATGTGGACTGACAGTGTTGAGTTTATGGCAGTCCTATTCCCTATGTTGCTCATAAATATTAACCAAAGGTTCTAATTTGACAGAAATCTTAAATCCTATTCAACAGAGACCGAAGTGATTCACATCTTTACAATTTGTGTTTTTACCAAAAAAGGATTATCTTTAAATCGAAAAAGCATTTCAAAAAGTTCCAGCAACCCAGGTGACCAATGAACCTAAAGCAGGTAGTCTTTGCTAAGGGTTTGTCAAGAAATCCAAACTGTCATAATTGTATTGTCCGTTTCATAAGCAATAATAATCACCCTGAATCAGATCAAAAGACCATTTCAAATATTCCAACATCCCCACTGTCCATTGCTCCATCTAACCATTGAATGAGGATACTTTGCCCAAACCTACACGAGATAAAGAAATGCCTGACTGAAAACAGGTGTTGTATAGCAGCTCTAGTAGAAGAAGCCAAGCAGGAAGGCTGTGACAACCGCCGACAGAATAGCGGCGATGTTTGCAATCTTCTTTGCTCGGGGATTTTCGGCAATTGACGTCATCTTCTTCTTGATCAGAGCCCTTTCCTCTTTGGTGATCTTGGGCTTGGGTTTGTCGTCTATACCGCACAGCCAGTTGTAGAGCTTCCGACCCACTGACTTGTTCTTTGCTGCAAGCATTGAGATAATGAGTTGGTGAGGTGATGTTCATGGCTATTGTAATTATATAATTGTGTGAATGTACGTGTGAGTGAGTGAGAGAGAGAGAGAGAGAGAGAGAGAGAGAGAGAGAGAGTGTGTGTGTGTGTGTGTGTGTGTGTCGAGTATGCTGACAGGGAATTTGACATCTGATTGGTTCAAATGTCAATGCACCGTCCATTCAGATTGTTCAGATTGGGTGCTCAAAGTTCACGCAGGATTAACCTGAACCAACCTTCAACAGTTGCCATGTTGAGACATATCGTATCCCAGAAGAAAATATGATTTGACAAGATAGAGTTTCATATGTAAAGGTACACAAAAGGAAAGAATGGGCAATAAGAGATTACACCAATGTATCTGATACTTTTATAACGAATATTAACTTTGATATTTCACTTTTCTGATAAGTCGACTCGTTTGATGTTACTGGGCAGAAAATGCAACAAAACAGTGAACGCTTTTCCTTTGACATTAATTTACATAGTATTAATTTATGTGGGTATATTTGCGTTTGATTTTAAACAATATTGATCTAAAATGCTAGAATATATTATGTGCCAAGGGAGAAAACTCACGTATTGGAGCTGCCGGCTCGTCGACATCATCGTCATCATCGTTATATTCACCATCAGAATCGGACTCCTCGGGGTCAAGTGGGTCATGGCGGGTCCACCACGTGACACGACGCAGCTAAAACGGTAAACAATAACATTATATTTAGTGTATATCAAGAGAAACTAACACAAATCCATATGACACGGATTCGACTGAGATAGTATACATGTATTAATGTCCTAGGCCGCCTTGCACCAGAACACCTCCTTTCCGCATTACTATGGGGAAATGAATTTTAATCTGAAGTAGAGATATGATTCTGTCATTCAGGAGATTAATCTTCATCTCCTTGTAAATCCGACTCTGGATCATTCTATGTTGGATATTTCCGTTCTGTCACAATTCTTTTCTTGTCCATTTCACATTACGTTATCGTTACGGAAGTGACGTCTCAACCTTAGTACACCTTCTGTCGCTGATGACAGTAATTTAATCAGGTGGCTACGTTTTGCCTCGTGCTATTCGGAGCGGGCTAAAACCAATGGTCCCTGGGTAATTGTCATAATAATGTGGAGATATAACACACTACACAATCGAGCACAGTTGAGGATGTGTACGTAAGTGTGTGTGTATCGGCGTCAGGGTGAAGTTTAGGGTGTGGCTAAGGGTGATGCTGAAGTTAATATATATACCTTCTCTGGGGGTCGTGGTTTCGTCAGGAGAGATATGATGACAGTTGAGATGACGGATACACCAGACAGGATGATGGCGAAGTGAAGGAAACCGATTTTAGATAGCACTTCCGGTCGGTTGTCCACGTCATCGCTGCCGCAGAAGGGGGCCGGGTAGGAGAAGTCCATCCCCATCCGGATTACCCCGCCACCAGACTTATCATTAGACCCCAGAACGCACCCTGATCAAACAAACAGTTGGTTATTATGTGTCCAGTTTATCAAAGTACGTCTTTCCAATATGTCTCAATCTCCAAATGTGTTAGGTTAAATGAATTAACTTCCGTCTGTAAATATTGTGTAATACTGTTCTGAACAGCTATTATATTTTATGCAGTGAAATTCAGAGACGATACGAGGAGAGTTATAGACGATTAAAACTCTTTCTGAATAACTATGCACACATTATATTTGTGCTAAAGGCATGAGTTCTGCAATAAAGACTTCATAGAAACAAATACAACCGACATGAAAACATAGTTTGTTACTTCACTCTAAATTAGATTTAAATTGAACAGATGTCCTAAATATATTTCATAATATGACGATTACATTAAAGTCTATTTCACACTGCTAGTGTTACGGCACGGTTACAGCTGCGTGGCGACGGCCTGTACATACCGGGGTTGGAAACAGAAAAACCAGTGATAGACTCCATGATGATCGATCCACGCACGCACGCACACACTCACGCACTCACTAACTCACCACCGGCTCCGTCGTCCTGTTCCAGAAGAGTGCGAGGAGGAAGATGCAGGTCCAGGGTGGGGCGGTGTAGGATGACACCGCCTGGAGGTAGCTCCAGAGCTGACCACTCTGTGCCGCCTGGAGGATGGGGAGCCACAAGATACTGACGCCGATCAACACCAGGACACACACTCGCCCCACGATCATCAGCTCGGCCTGGGACGCCTTCGTCCGGAACCTCTTCCAGATGTCCATGGTGAACATACTACTGGCGCTGTTGAAGATGGAGGTGAGGGAGCTCATTAGAGCGGCGAGGAGGGCGGCGAGCATCACCCCCTTCAGACCTGTAAATACAGGGGTGGTAAAGTGAATCAGTTGATTAGGACGACCTTGGGATGTGGTGGCAGGATTAATTGGGGGCCCAAGATCCTCCACACAGCTTCTGGATTACACCCAGCAGATGAAGGTTTAGACTTCCAAAATGTCGATTGGTTAACACCTTGGAATCTATGCTTGCTTCATTATGATATGAGCACCAATCAGTCTGGTCGGATCATAGCTAAATGTTGGTATACCAAATAATGCCCCCAAACAAGAACTAGAAAGATCTTCAACATCCCCAACTTGACGTCCTCATCTTAATAGCTGTTCACTGGCAAAGATTGGAAATGGGGTCTATTCTGTATGTGAGACGGGTGTATTGTCAACAATTTGTATAACCTACCAATGTTACCAAAACACTTAAATGGCAAGCTTGAACATATTGCGGGTAAAGGATGTGAGTGTATTCCCGGGAATTGCAGAAATATGCCAATACCACTGACCGACGGGCATTTTTCTGAGGACTAGGAGTGGGTAGGCGATGTTGGTGCAGCCGGCACGGTTCTGACAGACGCGCTCGCAGTGGTCGGGGTCGGCACAGGCGACATCATCTACGAAGAAATAATGAACATACACTGTAACACAAGAACCAGCATTAGATATAATGGCTGTACATTAGATATAGGGGTTCGATGTGGTAGACGGAGGGTAGATGTGGTAGAAGGAGGGGTAGATGTGGTAGAAAGACGGGCAGATGTTGTAGAAGGAGGGGTAGATGTGGTAGAAGGAGGGGTAGATGTGGTAGAAGGAGGGTAGATGTGGTAGGAGGGTGGGTAGATGTGGTAGAAGGAGGGTAGATGTGGTAGAAGGAGGGGTAGATGAGAGGCAAGACTTACTCGGGGAGAGAGGTATTCGGGAGAAACAACTCACAAGGGGAGATGGGTAGTTGGTAGATAAACCACGCAAGGGGTGGGGGATGTTTGAACGACATGACTCGCAAGGGGTGGGGTTGGGGGTGGGGTGTTTGAACGACGTAACTCGCAAGGTGGGAGGGGTATTTGGGCCAGACAACTCACCTGGAAAGAGGATTCGGCTGATCATACCGGGGACAATCCACAGGAAGAAGTTGAAGATCTTGAGGATGGCTGCGAACACGGACCCACCTTTGGCGTGACTCAGGTTCTTGGCGGATAGACATCTTTGTACCATAATCTAGAGGGATGCAGGATTTATATGTATTGTCTTATTGTTAACGAATGTTGATTTTGTGCAAATGTCTATGTTTAGTTTTCGAAATGTTTTCCTCAATTATCACCTGTCGCCTCTCACCTCCATACGACTCTCTTCATCTCTCTGTGTGAGGAAAGAGTAAACGTAAGTGTAAAACTCTACACAACTCTGTTACAGAAAATCGCCCTATGCTCATTCCTCGCCACACCTGACAACTCGACACACGGCTCAAGGATATCGGACGCATAATTAAGCCACTTCGTGTTTTTTCTCCAGACTTTATTTGGCCAGAGGTCAAGTCGTACCACATCGCCACATCACACCTGGTGTGATTCAGTATATTATGTTGCTGTGTTCTCTACCTTTAGTTACCCCGCCACACCCACCTGATCCGTGCACCACACCCACAGCCCGAGGGTGGTAAGCCCGAACACGGTGCCCGTCCAGGGAAGGTCACCTTGTACAGGGTCCCTCCAGATGTGAAGGAAGTCGTCCCTAGGCATCCCACACTTGTACTTGTCTGGGTTCGCCAGGGTGTAGTTGGTGGCAGCGTTGACGTATTTCCGCATCATCTGCTCCCAGCCACCGACCTCGATGAAACCTGGAGAATATTGTGTTAAAGTCTATACATGTTTGTTTAATTATTTGTTTTGTTTATGTTCCTACCTAGATGTCAATCCACGATGATAATAGTTTACTAGGACGGCGGTTTAAGTTTGTAACTCCAAACTCAACCATATTCCACCTTTTTTTACGGTCGACGCTGGTTACGATCACACGTAATCAACAGAGCCTGACCCTCCGATTCTTTCAGTCGGCATAGGTTGTCGGGCATTTTTTAACCCTGACTCCTCACGTTGACTAATCTTTGAAAAGTCTCAATGTTATGTTATGTCTACTGGAATCATTCGTTAAATTTCAAATTTAAATAATTACCTTGAAGAGTTGGTTATTTGACCATATCTGTTTGCGTGATGAAATGTGTGTAAATGTTAGTTACCCTCTATTTCGTTATTTAAATACCCCTTTTAAAAACAAAGCAATATTAAAATTTGAAGTAATGGTCAACGAAACTAAAACTGTAAGAGATGTTATATTTGGGATTACACGCAGTAAAGTACAGATTCTAGATTCAGATTCTAGTACTTTTGCTGGGTTGATTCCCATCCGGGATTCGAACCCACACTCTCACAGTCAGGGATCTAATAGCCAGCACACAAAACTAAAACTCTAAGAAGGTCAAGGCTGTCAGTCACGTACTGATGATCATAAGGATGAAGGATGCGATGAGCAGGATAATGGTCTGCAGAGTGTCTGTGTAGATCACAGCAGCAAGTCCGCCTGGAAGAAACAACGTATAAATATACAAAACAACACAAACAGTCCATTCATCATTGTAACAAGGGTTTCAACAACTGATTGAAAATCATTGTTCATGTGAATACAATAGCATGACTTTACAGAAAGACAGGCGACGCTGCTCGCCTACAGTGACAACCTACCAGCCACAGTGTAGATGGCAGTGACGCCGAGGATGACGACGACACACACGTAGAGGTTCAGCCCCAACAGCTGTTGGATGAAGATGGCGCCCGAGTACACCTCAGCCTGTGACAAGATACGCATACTGGCATCATCAGGTGATAACACTTATATATACTACACTTTTATTGCATGAACCCCTTAGTTGGGACTCTGGATAGCCTCATACAGTGAAACCCTGTTAATCAGGAGGGTATCGTTCTCACTGGAAACATCCGGATCACCGCTGTGAGGTGAGGTGAAATTGGGTTTAACGTCGTGCTTGAGAATATTTCGCTCATATGACGACGTGCATGCGTGTGGATGTGTATGTGCGGCTGCTTGTACTAGCCCAGACTGAAGCTGGTTTTATAGTGCTATCCACTGAGATACCATGCCGCAGTGAAGCATGAATACCCCACTCAGACACAGTATACTGACTCGAGCCGACCAGTCCTTGTTGTACCCATTAATGCCGAGCGCCAGGCAGGGACCAACAAGTACCATATTTTAACGTCTTTTGGTATGACGCGGTCGGGGATCAAACCCGCGACCTTCCGCTCTCCGGGCGGACGCTCTAACCACTACACCACGGAGGCGGCCGGATTACCGCTGTCCGCAATATCGAAACATAGCTACAGATTATTGTGTATCTGGAATGGTTCCAAGACCTAACTGACCAATAGATGAGGTTTCCGGAATAGACGGTGTACATAGGATGTAAGTGTTCAGGTGGACTGCAGATAATGTACCTGTTACATGTCGTGGATGGGTGAGTGAGTGAATGCTGGGTAACGCTGTATCATCAACATTTCCGATATATATATCGGCAACATGTACATAAGTGAGTCTCGACCAGGCAAACCGGTGACTGAAGGCGGGAACTACTGCCCACGTCATGTAGGCCACAACCCCTGACCGAGACACACTCTTCCCCCTACCATATCCCAAACGCACACCCTCGCACTTGGACAAGCCTCCCCACGTGGTTTACCGTGATTCTGGTGAGGATGTACAAGACGAGGGCCAGGCCGGACAGGTACACTCTCAGTCTCCTCCCCCCAAACCTCTTCTTCAGGTACTCCGGCATTGTGAACGCCTGTACAACAGAGAACATGATTATCAACACAGTTATCGAACACGTATTGAAAAATCAAATCTCAGAGGTCGCAGCCGCTAATCAAAGTTCTTCGTTTAGTAATATAGCGAGCATTAACAGATTTCTCGAAACAAACGTAAGTCTGAGTTTTGACTTAAGTTCGAGTTTTTACTCAAATAGAGAAAATGCATTAGCAGAATGAACTGAAATTGATATTAAACTCAAACATACTAAACAATTTGAGTTTGGTGGATAGATTACTTAAGGTGTTTGGGCTTTTTTATTTATAAAAATGCAGTTGAGTTAAAAATTCAGCTAATTTCAAATTGGCAAACTCAGTTTGAAATTTGAGTAAAAACTTAAGTTTGTTTCGAGAAATCGGGGCCTGATGTTATTGAGATTGCGGACATTTCGAAGTCAATTCATCTTTAACATTTGGTAAAGTATTTACCACGTTTTTGCACAATTCATTGGCATAATGTTCTATTTAATCGGGTCACACGGAACCATCCACTGGTTCCACCTGTAACGTCTATCCGTCTTTGGGGTCTATGAAGGTTCAGCCTTCACTGGTCAGGCAGATCACACTGAAGCCCAGGTCCGAACCCCCATATGGATGCAAAGTGTCAAACACATTTCTAGGCATCTAGCAATGGTGTTGCTGAAATATTGCTGTAGCGACATAACGCTATACTCACCCTCGTACACCAGCTGATTGATAACCGAGTGAGTTTGGTTTTACGCCGCATTGAGCAATATTCCACCAAGATAACGGAAGGGGACACCAGAAATGGGCTTCACACATTGTACCCGTCTATGAATCGAACCCCGGTCTTAGGCGTGACGAGGCACGGTAACCACTAGGCTACCCAGCCACCCCTGTCGGCCTACAAAGAGTCCGTTATCTGCATTAAAAGTTCGTGCAGGTAATAAAGTTGTGGTTGCTTACCCCGCTGGCGACGTAGACAGGAACGAAGATCCACCCAAGAGCGATCAGCAGGTAGATGGCCTGACATACGGAACAAGCAGAAATAACACAAAGTAGTAGAAAAGGTTAATCGCAATTAAACAGCTTGAAGCGGAATGTTTTATAACATTTGTCAAGTGACCGGTGCAAATGTGAAAGGATGCCACTAAACGGTAATGTTACATTGGTTACTTTGTCCTAAAATTACAGTAAAACTCTAACCTATGTCATGATAACAGTTTATGACAAGATATTAGTAACATTGATTTTCTATTGAGCTACATGTAGTCTGTTTAACACTCACCCTGTGCGGAGCTACAAGCAATCAACTATACACATGAAGCCTAAGTGAAGCTACCGACAATCCGTTATACATATGGACCCTGTGTGGAACTACAGACAATCAGTTACACATATGGACCTTGTGTGGAGCTACCGACAATCAGTTACACATATGGACCCTGTGTGGAGCTACAGACACTCAGTTACACATATGGACCCTGTGTTGAGCTACAGACAATCAGTTACACATATGGACCTTGTGTGGAGCTACCGACTATAAGTTACACATATGGACCCTGTGTGGAGCTACAGACAATAAGTTATACATATGGACCCTGTGCGGAGGTACAGACAATCAGTTATACATATGGACCCGTGTGGAACTGCAGACAATCCGTTATACATATGGACCCTGTGTGGAGCTACAGACAATCAGTTACACATATGGACCTTGTGTGGAGCTACCGACAATCAGTTACACATATGGACCCTGTGTGGAGCTACAGACAATAAGTTATACATATGGACCCTGTGTGGAGCTACAGACACTCAGTTACACATATGGACCCTGTGTGGAGCTACCGACAATCAGTTACACATATGGACCTTGTGTGGAGCTACCGACAATCAGTTACACATATGGACCCTGTGTGGAGCTACAGACAATAAGTTATACATATGGACCCTGTGCGGAGGTACAGACAATCAGTTATACATATGGACCCTGTGTGGAGCTACAAACAATCAGTTATACATATGGACCCTGTGTTGAGCTACAGACAATCAGTTATACATATGGACCCATTGTGGAGCTACAGACAATCAGTTATACATATGGACCCTGTGCGGAGCTACAGACAATCAGTTATATATATGGACCCTGTGTAGAGCTACAGACAATCAGTTATACATATGGACCCTGTGTGGAGCTACAGACAATCCGTTATACATATGGACCCTGTGTTGAGCTACAGACAATCAGTTATACATATGGACCCTGTGTGGAGCTACAAACAATCAGTTATACACATGGACCCTGTGTGGAGCTGCAATACCTACATGCCACTCGTATATCGCACATGCAAACCCGCCGGCCGCTGCCGTTCCCGCCAGACCGATGAACATGGGGGCGCCAACGTTGCTGGCGTATATGGACGCGCCCACCTGAAGAAAAATATAGAATACATGTCCATAAGCTTTAAACAAGTCTTACAGACTGAAATGCTTCCCATTACAAATAAATATTAAGGAAATATTTAAGACTTTTTTCTCTCTGATTTTCCATAGTTAGTGTTATAGGATTTCGGAGGTGTGCCTGTTGATGCCTGTCCAAAACATACAGAACAAACAAATGGCATGACATGTTTTCACATATATACTCATGCCAATAATGGTTGTCACCCTTCAATTTTTTTTATTGGAGAGTATTTATTTTTGTTTATCATACAACCATTAACATGAGTATATCTAGCCTACAAATAATCACATTTGTACTGTAAAAGTATTTATTTTGATTATCATACCCAAACTATACGTGCACTGCTTGTGATCTATGTTTCACTAACGGCGCTTTGAACAAAATGGTTTGCTTAATCAGAGCGTGTCAGCTAAATGTGGAGGAAAGGCAGAGTTGACTGACGGCATACGACACATAGTTAATTGCTGTTGCTGTTAAAAAAAATAAAACAGCAACGCCTGGCGAACATAGGATTCAAACCCACGCCACAGGATTCGGGCACTACCAAGGGACGCAACTATGAAACAAACTGCGTCCCCTATCACAACCCCATGTCTAGACAGAAGAGAACTGTGAAGGTGAAACTTGAGCGGATGTTGAAGTTGTACAACACACACTTCCTGCCTTGTTAATATGTGTGTATGTCAGCTTACATTGGGAATCTGAAAGTTGCTGAAATATAGTCGTGTACATACATTTCAAGTACAATCATTAACTCAGAAGAATGTGAACATATATGTTACAGGTTACGAATCCACCTGTTTTGAGTTTGTGTGGACAAAATCGCACTTTGCATTAATTAATAAACCAAACCTATGACGCAGGTCGTGAATGTTAACAGTTTTATTAAATCAGGAAAAGAGGGATGGTGCTGTCGGACCAATTACCTGGCGTCTGACCACTGCGGTCACTTTGAGACTGCATCCCACGACCAACTGATACCGACAACGTTAAGACCAGCAACTCTGCACAACATGCCCATACATATGGCGGAGAAGAGCTAAGTTCATAATGGGCAAATGGGTACAAATTTCTGAAGTTAGTTCTTGGTGTCGTAAAAAGCAATACCTTTCGACTGTAGCTAACCTCGGCGTACAAACCCCATTCACTCGCCCACCCATACATATTCAGAGGAAACACGTCAGACAATGTTCTTTGATTGTTGGGTTTTAAGGATCAGCAGATCGTTATGGCTAAGGGGCATAACTCTCTACGCCTCTCCGATCCCATTTCAGTGACAACGTCTCATCGTCCAACAGTAGAGGAGTAGACATATTAATATCAACCCACTCGCATATCTATCTAAAGGCGCATTCACTGACTGACTGACTGAGTTTGGTTTTACGCCGCTTTTAGCAATATTCCAGCAACATCACGGCGGGGAACACCAGAAATGGGCTTCACACATTGTACCCATGTGGGGATTCGAACCCGGGTCTTCGGCGTGACGAGCCAACGCTTTAACCACTAGGCTACCCCACCGCCCCAAAAGGCGCATTCAAACCCTAAGCCATCTTTCATAGGCATGTAAGAAAAGTATGTATGTAGAATGTGGCCTCAAAGTTCATTGGAGACTAATTCAGAACAACAAAGCCTGCCGGAATGTCACGTTGAGCCCAAGAGATCACACAATGTGAGTAAAAGATGTTGCAGGTTGAATCACGTTTGCACAACAAACTGTGTACATTCACGTATATAAAGGACAGCAGCAGTACATAGAAAAGACTGTCTGATCTAGGAACAGACGACCTTGGAATATACCACTAGGTCAGCTGGTCGCTTTAATTGAATATCCCCATGCTACAAAGCTGAAAAGCGGTTAGTGTTGGTTTGGGGATGTTCATAATAAGATGTATAATAAAACCCTGCTTTGACGTCCACAGATACACATTGCGTTGGGGTTTTGTCAGTTCGCATTCAAACTGATGAGAAGCTCACATTCATCACTCACATTCGTTGAGTTTAACATCTGTAGTGCATTGAAGAAGACCTTGACCTTCATAGTGGTTGTGTTGCCGGAAAGGTGAGGTGAGGTGAGGTGAGGTGAGGTGAGGTGAAATTGGGTTTAACGTCGTGCTTGAGAATATTTCGCTCATATGACGACGTGCATGTGTGTGTATGTGTATGTGCGGCTGCTTGTACTAGCCCAGACTGAAGCTGGTTTTATAGTGCTAGCCCACTGAAGTACCATGCCGCAGTGATGCATGAATACCCCACTCAGACACATTATACTGATTCCGAGCCGACCAGTCCGTGTTGTACCCATTAATGCCGAGCGCCAGGCAGGGTATGACGCGGTCGGGGATCGAACCCGCGACCTTCCGCTCTCCGGGCGGACGCTCTAACCACTACACCAGGGAGGCGGTCGTTGCCGGAAAGGCTTTTCAGTGTCGCAATTAAAGCAGCAGGATAGCATTGTGCCTTTTGGTATAAGGCACAAAGTTACCAATCATCCATAACAAGGTCACTACGGTGGACACTCCAGATATTGACCTGCACGCCCGAGACTGATTTTACGGACATTTATGCCTGTGACATCTTCAATATCATTTCAATAGTTGCCTTAAATGTGGTTTATATACATGGGGAAACATATCGGAACACCGCCTATTTATCATAGTGTGACTATGTTACCATTTACAATTGCAAAGTAATTTATCCAAACTTCAATTTAACGTACTGTCTGATTACACTGACCCTCAAGGAATAATTGAATGGCAAATCTAAACGCTAAAAGAACAAAACAACCTGTAGTTTATTGTTTGTGTTGTGTTGATAACTATGCTCGTATGACGTCAACAAGCGCGGACATTTTCAAAATTCGGACATACAATCCTTAAGAAATAACATAAGTATCAATAACCAAGTACAATGTCAAGATCAGGTGTAACCTCCGCCAAATGCAGTGACATCCCTGGCCCTTCTCCTCACTGACTCTACCAGACGTTGAATTTGACTGACTGACTGACTGAGTTTTGGTTTTACGCCGCTTTTAGCAATATTCCAGCAACATCACGGCGGGGGACACCAGAAATGGGCTTCACACACTGTACCCATGTGGGGATTCGAACCCGGGTCTTCGGCGTGACGAGCCAACGCTTTAACCACTAGGCTACCCCAGCGCCCCACTTGAATTTGACGTTGAGGTATTGCGGTCCATACTTTCTTATACATCTCACTGACGTATTGTGTGGCACATAATGTCGCAAACATGCTCTATTTGACTTAAATCTGGACGCTAGGCAGAAAAGGTGTAGTTGCTGCCGTCTCTCGACGTAAGAAATCACCAATGGCACGATGTGGCCTTGCACTGTCGTCCGTGAAGACTGATCTTCAGTTCAAAGGATGGTCATTGAAATGTGGTAAAACAAAAAACCTGTCTATATGTCATTGATGTACAATTGTCCATTCAGATTTCGTGTGACAAGGTCAAGTTTGCAGTAATGTGAGAGTTCCCCCACTTGAATTAACCCCTGCCAAAACAATACTTGCTCAAACATATCCCATTGGGCACATTGTTTCTACGGTGCCAAACATGAGCAGGGCCATTAGTCATGAACATAAGACTTTCGTCCGACTAGTTGACTTTTCATGACCTCAAGTTCCAGTGACATGGAGCTTAACACCAATCTAATCGTGTCACTTTGTGCACTGGGGATAACAACGGACGCCTACAAGTCATCTGGCTCTATACCGACCGATTTTAGGAGATTATGGACCCTTCTTTTGGACAAACGATTAAGTGGAAGCCACTCTGTTTTGTCACGACACTTTATGTGAACGGATGAAGTCTTGTGGTTCTGAAAAGGCCTGATCTGCCTTTGGAGTTGTCACCCGTGGTCGACGTGAACTCTGGACGACCACGCTGAAGACCTCAATGTCATTTTGTCAGTTTGCTGATGTTGTCGGCATCTCTTGCAACAGCTTCAATGACATGCCAGAATTCTGCATACCAATAACTTGCCATCTTTGAGCAGTTGCCACATAAGGAGGCCCTTTATTTCCATATTAACAACGAAATCAATATATTTTACAAGTTATCGAGCTGTAAGAACAGTTTACTGAAACTTGATATCTGCTGCATGACGGATACACGTATTGCACGTTGCTCGTAGCAAGTACACATTTAAAATCAATGTATGGTGCGCCCGACGGGAAACATGATCATATAAACAACCATAAGTATGAAATGAATATAAAAGGCTATGTTGGGGTTAAAAACCCTATGTGTTGCGATACTTTATTTTTACTTTTACTGTTTACATCTCAATATTTTTTGGTAAAGACTGAATTATGTTTGCAGGTTTAACGGCACTGTTATCGTTCTTGGTGGTCTCCCCAGAGCTGAGTTTCTTCAGGTTGTTCTGTCAAGTGCAAGAGGCACTTTGTGATGTGACGGAAATACTGTTCAGAGCAGCGTATATCTCACTCCACTCACTCATTTGAACGATTGATGTAGGAGGCAGTGAAAGGTGGTGCGCACGATGAAACCCAGAAGGAGAGGTGTTGCCAAGCCAAGGATCATATGCAGGTCAATATCCCCGAGCAATGAACAAACGCCAATCATGTCACGATTTGTACTTCTTGGCTATGCCACATGGGGTGATGCCATCGGCTAACATTCCTTCTGTAGGAATACAAACAGTGTCAAGTATTCTCAGATCATATGTCCTTGGCGCCATGACATTGATAGCCTGATCTTCTGTGGCTGTACCAACACCTTCGCGGGACGATTACCTGCTGAGTGTGAGCGTAAACATCATCTCGGTCAGCTGATGATACTGGGTCTGTGAATGTGTTGTGCGAAATAATAGAAGTGCACTTTATAGCGTGGTTGATAGCTCTAACCTCTGTCGAATCGTCCAGCGGATTATAAAATCTGATATTAACTAGTTGTTTTATTCATATCAATATTTCATATATACCAGCGCCCATTTCGACGCTTCTAAATTTTCAGTACAAATGAACAAAGGATTTTGCGGCGCATATCTCATTTCTGTATCTCGAAAACAAACATTATGGGTCAGTGCCATATGGAACAAAATAAAGGCCGATATTTATATAGAGAGTAGACATCTGACTGCCTAAAGAACTACACAAGCTCGTTCAGGTTGAACCTGGAGAGGATTGAAAAAGATAATTTTACAGAGAGGTAGAGAATCAAAATTAATTTTGGCAAGGTTGCACTTGTATATACGATTAGGGACTGTTCATAATTTATGGCTTGGGGGTGGTAAGGGGGTCACCCATTTTGTTCCGGGGAGGTAGGCGGGGGTGGGGGGTCAGCAATTTTGTACTCAAAATTAATAAAAAATAATGCTTAGGGGGGTCATTCACATTGTACATGCTACCCCATAAAAATCATCATCACACACACACACGCACGCACGCTCGCACCCACGCACGCTCGCACCCACGTACACACACGCACGCACGCACACGCACTCCAGCGATAAATTATGAACGGCCCTTGATATGTAGACTGGCGAGTACGACGGTCATCCTGGTTCATATGTACTCTATTCAAACGTCAGTGACATCGGTATAGATGGAGTGGCCACATGACTTTCATATGTAGTATACACGTGATTGGATGGCATGCGTCACGTGACTTACCGGAAACCAGTGCATCTCCTTTCCAGCCAGGAAATACCCGGCGGTACTGTCTCTGTTTGGTCGGAAAGTGGACTGAAAGACAAAGGAAACATTTTAGTTTGTTTTTCATTCTCCATGATATGTTGTTTTCATATGCTTAACTCACAATCTGGCTTTACTATACGGGACAGGCACTCATTCCCCTCAAGGCTTAAGGATTGCTGCTTTGGCTTGGTTCGAATCCTATCAGCATCAAAACCACACTGAAACCTTAGATTCATTTTTAACAACTCGAGGGTCACACATAAGAATACGCACTCACACGCTAGTGTGTGCATCCACACACACACACACACACACACACACACACACACACACACACACACACACACACACACACACACACACACACACACACACACACACACACACACACACACACACCAATTAAATTCAGCGTTGGTTTACTGAATTAAACTGAGTTAGTTGGTTATGTGAATGGAAGATCCAACCAGACATTGTGATGCGCTCATTAATCAAACGGGTCAGAATAGTTTCATCACGTGGTGCAATATATAAAGCTTCGGCGTTTATACAGTTTGGCATTTGCCCTATGATATTACTCCACTCAGCGAGTGAGTGAGTGAGTGAGTGAGTGAGTGAGTGTATCCAAGCGTGTCAGCAACATGTGGGAGGAAGTCAATGCTGATACAGGTGTTAGACGTTCTCCAGTTTGACAAACCAAAACCTACACGGAGGAGAACCACGACATAGGCTTGGTCTCCGTCAAACGGACGCTAGTCCACTAGGCCACCAACTTCACTAGCGATGTTCCATGCATATCACATTGTACACATAACGTAAATCGAACTCAGTCCTGAGGCGTAACGGGCGCACACGTTAACCACTAATCTACACCATTGCACGTTAAGATAAACACCTGATATGACATCGTGTCATATATGATACTTAACATTTATCTTTATTGTCTCAGATCACTTACACAAACATGACCGACTAGAGGGACATCAAACGCCACCAAGTTGTCTTTGTACAGTCACGTACAACGGCGATATATGCTGGCCAATCTCGGCCGATATGTACGGTACATGGGGACGGCCGTGCTGGAGTTTAATGCGCTCGTTCATCTCAAGTACAGGAACAAGCCCTGGTTTCATACCACATTAACTGACTTTCATGGAATTTGGATTTTCTTTGTTCAAATAATCTAGCGTCTTCTTAAAATGCTAATATCTATCACCAAGATCACTATAACGGCCATTCGTTCAACAGGGCACGACTGGGACTGTCAATTCATGCATAAGTTATAAAATAACAAATTAGGTTGTTTCAGTCTTTTAAAATAAAAAAGTTATAAGTATATTTCATTTCAGAAGAATTTAACCCAGGTTATTCAACCCTCATATTTAAGATGTGTATTTAACGTCAAGCGTTTGGACAATAACCGCCATTAACAAATCTTAGGAAATATTAATGCATATTACGACTATCTATCCAAATCAATGAATCACAGTGGAAATCCCGATTTAAAAGTCCCGAAAATGATGAACTAAATACCAAGAAATATAAACATTAATAACCAATAATTAATATTTCAGTAATATAAAATCTTTCAACACTTACCCATAATCCAACGCCCAACACCAAGGCAAAGTAGACAGCGATGGAGACATAGTCCCCCGCCTCTAGAACTTCCACCATCTTTCTAAACCTCCGACACCATTTAATTACAAAATGCAAAAAATGACCAAAATGCACCAGGCCCTGTCTCCCGCAGGTCGAGACAAGGAGCCGAGATATTCTGACAGCGACGAGTTCGTCAGTGCACCTGTCAAGTTTGGGTCATTTTACGGTAAAGTAAACAAGTAAACATTGGTACCGGGGATCGCGGTCCCCGGGTGGCCTTTGGAAGTGTGAGAGGCTGGTAACTAAGGCTTGGTGTATGAAATGGCGGAATGTATTACCATCTTAGTCTACACAAATATGACCTGTATATGTTTTAAAGGGGTTTGCCCTTGCGTCCAGGGTCGATTTCATCCGAACTGACCCAGAACAAAATGCAGCTGTACATGCATATGCTAATCCACGTATTTACTAAATCTAGCTTATGCAAGATCATCGATGGTCAGGTTACTGCTTGTTTACATGCTGATTAAATTTGTGCAATATAATGGTGTTTGGGCAATGACAAGCAAGATTACCAAGACGAATCATATTATTTTATAAGCACGTCATGCCCACTCGTCTTGAGCCTCTGCATGAATTATATCCCAAACAACGCCCATTGTAGAGGAACTGTCCAATGAGATGCAGACTTAAATGTCGACCAAGCACGAGCATCCCCATGCGCTGATTCATCCAGACAGAGAGGTCTTTTATTGCATGGCACGTAACCTTGAGAAGACCTCTCGTGACATGAAGATTCAGGCTGAAACAAGAATATATATGTTTCGGGGAATGTCAGGCGGCAATACCACGCTAAACGTGATAGTAATAAGTCCGTATTAACGAATCATCAATACAAAGGAATACTTTATTTACAGTCCCTGAACCACCTCACTGTCTTAATTTACAGTTCTTGAACCACCTCATTGACATAATTTACAGTTCTTGAACCACATCCTTGACTTAATTTACAGTTCTTGAACCACCTCATTGACATAATTTACAGTTCTTGAACCACCTCATTGACTTAATTTACAGTTCCTGAACCACCTCATTGACATAATTTACAGTTCCTGAACCACATCATTGACTTCATTTACAGTTCCTGAACCACCTCATTGACTTCATTTACAGAATTTACAGTTCCTGAACCACATCCTTGACCTAATTTACAGTTCTTGAACCACCTCATTGACATAATTTACAGTTCTTGAACCACATCCTGGCTTAATTTACGGTTCTTGAACCACCTTACTGACTTAATTTACAGTTCTTGAACCACCTCATTGACATAATTTACAGTTCTTGAACCACCTCATTGACATAATTTACGGTTCTTGAACCACCTTACTGACTTAATTTACAGTTCCTGAACCACCTCATTGACATAATTTACAGTTCTTGAACCACCTCATTGACATAATTTACAGTTCTTGAACCACATCCTTGACTTAATTTACGGTTCTTGAACCACCTCATTGACTTAATTTACAGTTCTTGAACCACCTCATTGACCTAATTTACAGTTCCTGAACCACATCCTTGACTTCATTTACAGTTCTTGAACCACCTCATTGACATAATTTACAGTTCTTGAACCACCTCACTGACTTAATATACAGTTCCTGAACCACCTCATTGACATAATTTACAGTTCCTGAACCACATCCTTGACTTCATTTACAGTTCTTGAACCACCTCATTGACATAATTTACAGTTCTTGAACCACCTCACTGACTTAATTTACAGTTCCTGAACCACCTCATTGACATAATTTACAGTTCCTGAACCACATCATTGACTTCATTTTACAGTTCCTGAACCACCTCATTGACTTCATTTACAGTTCTTGAACCACCTCACTGACTTCATTTACAGTTCCTGAACCACCTCATTGACATAATTTACAGTTCCTGAACCACATCCTTGACTTCATTTTACAGTTCTTGAACCACCTCATTGACATAATTTACAGTTCTTGAACCACCTCACTGACTTAATTTACAGTTCCTGAACCACCTCATTGACATAATTTACAGTTCCTGAACCACATCATTGACTTCATTTACAGTTCCTGAACCACCTCATTGACTTCATTTTACAGTTCTTGAACCACCTCATTGACATGACATAATTTACAGTTCCTGAACCACATCCTTGACTTCATTTACAGTTCCTGAACCACCTCATTGACTTCATTTTACAGTTCTTGAACCACATCCTTGACTTAATTTACAGTTCTTGAACCACCTCATTGACATAATTTACAGTTCCTGAACCACATCCTTGACCCTAATTTACAGTTCTTGAACCACCTCATTGACATAATTTACAGTTCTTGAACCACATCCTGATTTAATTTACGGTTCTTGAACCACCTTACTGACTTAATTTTACAGTTCTTGAACCACCTCATTGACATAATTTACAGTTCTTGAACCACCTCATTGACATAATTTACGGTTCTTGAACCACCTTACTGACTTAATTTACAGTTCTTGAACCACCTCATTGACATAATTTACAGTTCTTGAACCACCTCATTGACATAATTTACAGTTCTTGAACCACATCCTTGACTTAATTTACGGTTCTTGAACCACCTCATTGACTTAATTTACAGTTCTTGAACCACCTCATTGACATAATTTACAGTTCCTGAACCACATCCTTGACTTCATTTACAGTTCTTGAACCACATCCTTGACTTAATTTACGGTTCTTGAACCACCTTACTGACTTAATTTACAGTTCTTGAACCACCTCAATGAAATAATTTACAGTTCTTGAACCACATCCTTGACTTAATTTACGGTTCTTGAACCACCTTACTGACTTAATTTACAGTTCTTGAACCACCTCACTGAAATAATTTACAGTTCCTGAACCACATCCTTGACTTAATTTACGGTTCTTGAACCACCTTACTGACTTAATTTACAGTTCTTGAACCACCTCAATGAAATAATTTACAGTTCCTGAACCACATCCTTGACTTAATTTACGGTTCTTGAACCACCTCATTGACATAATTTACAGTTCTTGAACCACCTCATTGACATAATTTACAGTTCTTGAACCACATCCTTGACTTAATTTACGGTTCTTGAACCACCTCACTGACATAATTTACAGTTCCTGAACCACATCCTTGACTTAATTTACGGTTCTTGAACCACCTTACTGACTTAATTTACAGTTCTTGAACCACCTCATTGAAATAATTTACAGTTCCTGAACCACATCCTTGACTTAATTTACAGTTCTTGAACCACCTCATTGACTTAATTTACGGTTCTTGCACCACATCCTTGACTTAATTTATGGTTCTGAACCACCTCATTGACTTAATGTACATTTCCTGAATCACATCCTTGACTTAATTTACGGTTTTTGAACCACCTCATTGACTTAATTTACGGTTTTTGAACCACATCCTTGACTTAATTAATAGTCCCTGAACACCATCAATGGCCCTTCTGTCCAGCTTTTTCTATAATGCCATGACCCTAAATGAAGTAAGACCCGTGAAGATCCGGGTTAGAATTGGTCTTCACAAACCCATGCTTGTCGTACGAGGTGACTAACGGGATCGGGTAGTCATGCTCGCTGACTTAGTTGACACATGTCATCTTATCCCAAATGCGTAGATCGATGCTCATGCTGTTGATCACTGGATTGTCTGGAGCAGACACGATTATTTACAGACTGCCGCCACATAGCTTGAATATTCCTGGGTGCGGCGTTGAACAGCAAACAAACAAATGAAGCAATTTCCCAGATTCTGAGTCTTCTACCTCACTGGGGCTGATCATCCAGTTGAAACTGAGCTATTTCCTTCCATCAAAATTATATGTTTTCACAGGCTAAGTATTGGCCTGTATTATTTGAATTTGTCTAAGACGTTATGAACACAGATCATCTAGACAGAAATCCTAGTTATTCATTGACTGGAAGAACAATAAAGTTTAACTCTCTCTCTCTCGAAACACAGAGCACATCACCACACTGGCAGCTCGGAACGGGATGTCATGACGTGACACATTTATGACAGTGTGGAAGACAGACATACATATATATGTACATTCATTGGACGAAAACATTCACAGGTGCGTGTTTCGTTCACAAACGTCTGAAGAATTGCACATTTTACTGAACTGCATGCTTGCATTTCACAGAAAGCCCTTTAAGATTAGCCAACTTAGATACATGATATAGCCAAGGATATCAACACGGACATGCCTTCATATATGCAAACGAATATGTATGCTATTTCAAGATGCAGCCATAATTTGTATACTATATCAAGATGCACACACGAATATATATATAAAGATAAAAAAGCATGTGTCTATCATATATCAAGATTCACACAAATATCTATCATCTATCAGGATACACATATGCCACTATATAAATATGTGCATTATGCATCAAGATACAGGCACATACGTATACTATATGAAGATACACACACTATAAATACGCACACTATATAAAGATGCACACATATGCATGCCATGTCAAAATGCACACATGAATACGTTTTCTATATCAAGATGCACACATAAGCATGCCATGTCAAAATGCACACATAAATACGTTTTCTATATCAAGATGCACACATATATACGCACACTATATTGAGATGCACATAAATATGAATTCTATATATCAAGATGCACGCACGCACACACATACACGTACCACATATCAAAATGAATGCACATACGCACGCACCCAACAGATGCACATAGATAGTTACAGAAAGGTTCAAGGTTGTGTATTTATCCAAACTGATTCAAAGATATCTCCTGCACTGGGATATGTTAACAGAGACTAATAATAAACAGTCATTCAAAAGTCCCTGGTATGTCACAGCGCCCAGTGCACGTCACGTGTTTTACTTTAATCCATATCCACGACTGATGATCATACCATGAACAGGATTTCCTTGAGAACTTGCAGGTGATCTATTATTCTAAAAACATGTCAACAAATGATAGAGAAGGAAGCAAACAATTCAAAACATGTTTAAATAAGCATTTAAAAGATATATTTAGATATAAAGCAAAAAATTAAATCTGTTTTGAAGATGCACACGAGCGTAACTGCTTATACACAAAGAGCTCTGTTCTAAATAAACATGATGTTGTTAGTATTTTATTACATGTCAGTAGCCAATACCCTGAAATTTGCATCACATAAACA